TAATATTAATTGGTTTTGCAATTTTTGTTATAATTGTAGGTGATACAGAATTACAACGACTTGCATCAAGTACAAAAACAACAGTTTATTATTATTATAATTCAACAAGTACAACACTTGTTCGTGATGGTTGGGATTTTGTTCAATATTATTTTAGTTGTTGTGGTGTTAAAGATAATAATACTGATTGGTATCCAACACCAACTACAGGTTGGAAATATAATAGTCAATTACCTCGTTCTTGTTGTGGTTATGATCCAAATGATGCTGGACATGCAGGTCGTATATTTGTTGGTAATAATGTACCAGCATTAGATGGTATATGTTATTATGGTGATATTGGTCAACCAACATGTTATGATAGTATTAAAACTAATCTTCTTATAACTGTTTTAGTTTTTCTTATTAGTCTTGCACTTATTATACTTGTTCTAGCTATTCTTTTTATCATTGTTATTTTCATTTATCGTACAATTCATCATCGTGTAGAAAATTCTATTGTAAAATAAGTTTTTTTGTTTTTTATTTTATATAAAATATAAATTAATAATGATTAATATTAGTTTTATTATTAATATCAATAACAATATCACTTTGTTGTGTTTCATCATTTATTTGTTGTCCAATTGGATTATCAATACCATTATGTAATGATAATATTGAATTATGTATTGTTCCATTAAGAAATGATTGTATTCGTTTACCTGTATAAAGTTCTTTTAATTCTCGACGACATAAACCAGTAATAATTGTTGATATAAGTAAACATGGTACAAGATAAAGTAATGCTGGTTGTGCTGTATTCATTAAATAAAGTGCAACATGAGTTAAAGATAAACCAATAAAATAAGATATTACTGATTGAATATAATAAATAGGCCAACGATTATTACTAGCTATATCAAATATTTTACAAAATGTTAATAGAATACCCTAAAAAATAAAATAATGATGTACAAAATAATATATTTTCTGCTGGATTAAAACATGAAACACGATGAAATTGCTCTTGCTCACGTTTATTGATATATGGTCTTTGATCGTATATCAATAATGTCTGTCACGGTCCGTTAGGAGTCGAGGGAGGTATAAGTTTTTATTCCTATATACTTCAACATTCCTTTTAGATCGTGTTTCATAAAATGCACAACAACAATAACAACAAACTATTCTTTACCGGCAAAATGATATCACCATAACCGAGCATTGATTTTTGTACTGTAGTACATGGATCTATTTCATTTTCAGGTATAAATGCAGGTAAAATAAATAAAAGTGGTACAACTTCACCATTTGTTCCAATACCTAAAGCAACTTGTTCCATAACAGATGGATTTCGTTTTGGTTTTCGAGATATTATATAAGTATTTGATGATGATAATGATGATGATGGTTCAGTCAATGGTCTTACTGTTGTAGTATTATTAGAATTTGAAAGATTTGGTGATTGTTGAAATATTGGAATATATGGTGTAATGAAAACAAAAAATATATCATAGAAAAAAAATGCCACTAAAATAATTGTAATTGCACGCATATTACCAAGTCGATAGATAGAAGTTACTGTAATACAAATTGCTGCACCAAGTATATCTTGTAAAATCCATGCCCAATCAGTATGACGATATATATACCAAATAATTACAAGTGTTAAGGATATACACATTGCAAATAATGTAAATATATTTAATGAACCTAATTGACAAACACATGGTTTATGAAATGTATGTGATGATGTTGAATAAAGACGAAGATATGGTATAAAATAACTTAAACGATCAAAACATGATGTTAAAGATGAAAATGCACCAATGCAAAATATAACTAAATATATAAGTAAGACAATAGAGAAAAAGTTAATATGGCTACGAAGATGAAAACATCAATACAAATGTTAGCATGACTGTCTTTATCAATATAATCAAGTAATGATGATACTCATCATACAATATCATCTAGTTATGATTTAGCTTTTAGCAAACTATCAGCGCCTAATAATTTAGATAGTGTTAAATCTATTTTTCTTAAGATTCATTGCTAATATAGATCTTGCAAAACATCTGATATGTTGGTGATCGGTACATGTGAAAATTCAAAACAATAGAATAGAAAGAAATTGATGTCGGAATTGTTTTCTTTCCAATATAATAGTTTTGATGACATAATCTATGATACGAAAGTCTTGGTACAAAATATTCACTCATTTTTCGATTACTTAACGGCAACTCATTATAGCTAGAAGCAGACATTCTTTGCTCTTTCCAATTTTGTGTTCAAACGTTCCTTTTGGAGTAGGATTTGATAACTATCATCAAATTGTTTGAAAACAGTGCTTGTACAGAATACTATTTTGATCAATTTTGTATTTCAATTGAAACATATTAAGTTCAAAATACTAAACAGTTTTTTAATAGTTTGTTCTACAAAGTATGTTATTTACTTTTGTATTTTTAAAACCAATTTTTGAAACAGTGATTACTGATTTCTATAGAAAGTAGCTCTTTAGTAGAAACAGATTTCGCTTATTGCAATATCTTAGTTTGTATAGAATTCAGTACTCTACAATAATATTAAATTGAAGCTATTTCAAGACACAAACTGTGTAAACTAAGAATCACGCCGAAGTCACAATTTTCTTTGTACAGACACAATAACTAGCTGTCTTTTGGTAACCGAATATTTTGCGTTAAGACTTTCGCGCTATAGATTATTAACCCTATCGCGACGAGTGTTGTTTTTGAAGAGATACAAAAATTGTGATTTATTCCATAAAAACCTGAAATGGAGTGTGTACGCTAAGAGAAATAGTGGCTTTTCCAAAGAATTATCGAACTTCATAAGATTCAGGAATTACACAGTCAAGTAGAATTGCGCAGAGTTTTTGTAGAATCTTGCAGATAGATGTTGGAATCTGTGCAAAAAGCTCAAAACGTATATATATACGTTTCCTGTCGTTGAAGAGGAAAGAAATAGGTATCTGTTCCTGAAATTTGTTAATTGTAGAATTCAATCTCGTTCTTGGCAGTATTCTATATCGATAAACCTAATCGAAAAGATTGATTCTTCTTCTTTTCTCGCTTCAACATTCTCTTTACACTATTTTCGTTTCGTGTTAGTAACTAAGATACACATATATAGATGATTTGTATTAATTAAAGTGATGTGCTTTTATCGTTTATTGTGAGATCATCATGGTTGCTGTTAGAGAGCACAATGACTATGCTATTTATTTATCATTTACTTTTTCACTATTGAATAAACTAAATACATTAGATGTTAATAGATTTCAACATCTATTGCCTTGTCTTCATATTTCGTTGTTAAAAATATACTATATCTTAAAATAAATTCAACGAATAGATTGATTGTTTTTGATTTTATAAAAAAAATCGAGTATGAATAATATTTACTTTGTAGTATTATTATCATTACTTTTGGAAAATAATAAAGTAACAATAGCCAACCAACAGCAAAGCAAACAGTAATTATAATAATACAGCAAGTCATGGGAAGTACTGCTGGTTCATTATTTTCAAATGGTTCATTTGGTACGATAGAATTTCGTTTAGTTAATATTCTTGATGTTACTCTTTCATTTGTAGATGATGTTGTATGTAAATTAGATAATTCATGATTTGTATCTATATTAGGTTTTTTTACTTTATTTTTAAATTCACTACCAGCCCAAAAATTACCACAAAGTAAAACAATTAAAACTAATAGAAATATTAATAATATAGATGGACGAAATTTTCTTGTCATATAAAATGGATAATCAATTGATAATTCAATATTACTTAAATTTTTATATGTATTAGTCATTTTAATAAAATCATTTTTCCAAAAAATGAATACTGGAATTGTAACAGGCATAGTTGTTGTATTATATGTTAATTCATAATGAGTATTTGTTCGATTTGTTATTATCATTAGAGATATTTGTTGTTTAAAATGTTGTTCAATATTCCATGCATGTTCAGTCATTTTACATTCATGTTCATAAATAATAAGAATTGTATTTGATAATAATGAATTAGGTAAAGAATTATTAAAATTTGATATATTACAAGCGTTAAAAGATGGTGATAATAGATAGGGTGAATACCAACCAAAATCTTTTATATATACTGTACGATTATTTGGTAATTTAGCAAGTTCAATGCAATAACGATGAATATCCGATGTGGATGATGTTGAACGAACAATTAAATTGATTGACCCATCGGTATAAGTAAGAACTGTTGGAAACAATAATAAGAAAAATAATAATATTATTGTTACCATCTTTTATCTAAATGTAAAAAATAAAACAGACAAATATAAGTATGAAGATATTTTATTATTCTGTTGAATGTGCTACTCTAACTAATGTCACTTTTTTTTTCTTCCACTCCTTCGTTCCTTTTACTTTTCACTAGAATTGCCAGCTGTCGCCTATCGTATATAGGCTAATATTCTTATATAGTTTTTTCTTTTTAATTACGCTTTATGATGCATCACGCTCCGATTGTTTTTTCTTTGTCAGACAAGCAACAAAACACAACTATCATCTAGTACATACTGATCATATATATAAAGATTAATAATTGTCAATCGTAAAAAAGAGAATATCAGAATTAAAATCATAGAAATTTTGACATTTATTCGACATGTTGTTTTTTTTTTCATCGTTCTGTTCTTCTTTTTATTTCATGTAATATGAGAAAGAAAGAAAGAAAAAAAAGAATGGATTTAAGTTGAATTTATATTTGACAAATATTTACCAATCTATTTTTATAGTTCACATATACGAACAATGTTCTCCAGCCTTTTTTTTCTCTTTTCGTATTGTAAACTTTACTTATACCAAGGTCAACATAAGAGAGGAAAGAAATGTTTCTTCATATAGGACACACTTTTATACATATATATATATCGACAATGAGAAGAAGGTCGAACCTTTATTAACATATTCTATGTTATATGATTAATTCAGCTCAACTTGTTTATATACATATACAATGAAGCAGATTTTCACTATTTTAATCCTTGTTTTTTTACCAATATATACTGAACAAATATCAACTATAATTAAAGATCCATTTGAATATTTTAAGAAACTTACACGAGATATACAAATTCATCCACAATGTGATCGTATACCACCATTTAAAATTCAATTAGATTCATCATTTTTTGATATCGATTTAAGACAATGGGATCGAAAGAAAAATCCACCACCAATACATCGTTCACTTGAAGCTTTTGTTCAATTGGATACATTAAGACAAAGTACTTATTTTAGTCATATTCTTCAAAGCAATAGTCAAGCAAATGTACCAGGTATATTTACTATAGAGGCGTTCTGAGATCATCAGGATGGAAGTGAGAACTGTTGAATAAACTGGAACTTGACTAGAGAAAAACGAAGATTTTTCAAGATGGGAAAAGGGTTGTGTGTTTTCCTGTTTAAGATACCTCTCTGATATTAAAATTATTTATAAGAACTCGAAATTATAAAAGACTAATAGACTATCGAATTCTTATTGTTGTCTGAAAATTGAGTTTAAATTAATATCTTTCCTTTTGAAGATATGAAACAGTATTTGTTATCAATAGGATAGAAGTATCTAGAATTTCAGGGTGTTTCCATGGGATGTTGCCAGTCGATCCAGCGACCACGTCCAAATTCAGTGAAACTTTCAGGCTTTGTATAGTTTTTTGCGCTGATCATTTTGGTTATAAAATTTTTATATTTGGTCGCTGTTTTTAGAGAGATACGGGTCAAATACTATTCATGCATTTTATGTTTTTTTCAATCAATTCAAGTCACATTTTTATCGAAAAAACGATCATAGTCCATGATTATTCATTCGGATTTTAAAACCAATTATATATTTGTATTCCTCTTGAGAAACAGCACCAGAATCCTTAGGAATCTAAACATTTTTCACGCATTTTTATACTGCCCACTGATTCACAATGTAGAGGAACAGTGTATGAAAAATTCGATCAGAAAGTTGGAATAAACGAGAATGGTGGCGTTACCAGTTCGATAGAGCAGAACTTGCTCTACAACATCCACTAATTATTTTTCTCTCCGACCTTGATTATGAAATGAACGACTGTCAAAACTATTTTAGATTACAATTTTTCATCAAATT